AGCTTCTACCTACAGGTCTATAATAATAACATAATAATAATGGTTAACACTTAGTGATAGAGTACATTTATGAATGAAAAAGTGTTTGTTCTAACCTTGTGTGTCGTTTCAATCACTTAACGCTGATATTTTGACAAGTGGTAATAACTCACAATATATTTGTGTCATCAAATAAGTCAAATATTTCGTATAATAATACGGTTTATCTTGAAACAAATTATTAGATATTCAGCCTTGACACATTGTGCTCCGATGACCTACTGGAGCATTGTTCCAGTCCAATGCTCCATTGCTCTAATGGTAAGCCACTGGATATATCTCCATTCACAAAATAAACCACGTGATACTATCATCTCTCTTCTTTATTATCATTCGTTCAATAATGAAACGACAACGACATAAAGTAAACAATACAATCTGTTTACCACAAATACTATCAGTTATTATTATTAAAACTGACTACAATCATTCCGGCAACAATTGCCAAACAATATCATCTTCATACAGAAGACTAATTCCTATATACCGTTGCTTAAACCATACGCCTTGAGCGCATACTATCCTTATTCCATATTGTAGACTAGTTGAAGACTGTTTACCGCTGACGGCACTGGCAATTCGACAATGAATAAGTCAGCGAGACACCATTTTGCACTTGAATTATCTGCAGGATGGGCTAGACGTTCTGACGGATCCGCAGATGTCAGACTTTCAGACACAAGACCTTCATCATATTCAGTCGCAAGGTCTTCTGACCAGTTGCTCAGAACGGTATTCCATTCGTTATCTGCGTCAGGATTTGCGTTTACATCATATTCACAACTGTCACTGACAGTTGTCTCTTCATTATCGTCACCAATCTCTATTACTTCATCTTCAGGAGAGATTTCAGCGGAGCCTTCTTGACAAGATTCATTGTTGTGTATGATCGTATTTGCATGTATGTGCTGTTCCAATTCTCGTGACATCTTAACCGTACGATTATAGATTATTTCAGCCCGCATCTGTGCCATCGAAAAAACCTTTCCGAGCTAACAGATATAGTAATAGTATATTTCAGTTGTCACCGAACAGTAATTAAATAAACACACCCTTTTTCAAACACATAGACTCATCTTACCTGCAATCTATTTCGTCGTGCTGAGTGTATAAAGTCCATCGAAGAAAACAAGCGTTCACATGACGCAGAATTTACACAAATTGAAAATACGCGGACTGCAAGAATGCTCAACTCTTTTGTTGCTCCTATCGTAAACTTCCAATACTCTTGAATGTCATCGAAGTTTGATGCAGTGTCATCATCGAACGGATACTCTCGATTGACAAATCTTGACAGTTCTGCTAGGATAACGGTCGGCCGTGCCCTGAACCATTCTCTATAATAGTACTGTACCCACAAGCCGATTTGAGGTAAGTTTAGAGAAAGGCTATTGTTGAAGACACTGTTGCGGTATTTGGGATGGAGGAAGAAAGCTATAATGAGCAACGGTTGCTCCCATTGTCTCCACCGAGACTCTAGACGACGAACCATATTTTTGCTAAAATCGTCTTGCCCATGCTTATATAGTTGCATAAAATAGGCAAATGCGTGAAGAACATCTGATAACTGTGCAACATCACGTTGCAGATGATTAAGTATTGCCATGAATGGCAATAAGTGTGACTCCAATTCTTCGATCATTTGCCACCATGTGTTGTCTTCCAGTAGTGTTAGAATATTTGTTGGCAGGTTTTGATGCCGCAAAGCAAGTGCCTGTCATTTGAACAAAATCAGCTTCTGTTTCTTGCATGGAAAATGAAATACGGGACACATACAGTGACTTCCATAAATATTGCACCACTCATGAGAAAGAGTCTTGACCTGTGATTTCTCTCAACGCAATAGTTG